AATTAGTTGAAACCTATTTAAATAAATAGCAATAGTTTTCTGATAAAATAGTTTAGAAATTTTTTATTTATTTTAGAAAGAATTTATTGTTTTTTAATTTTGAAATTTTTTTGTTGGGGAAGAATATTTTATTTATTAACAAATAAAAAACATTATATAGATCTATCATATATTAAGTCTTTATTTTTACAATTTATGCAGAGTGATAAAAATTATTTAAAAATAATTTCAATCTTTAACTTTTGGCAGAAAATTTCTTTATATTAATTTATTTAATTTATTATATTTTTGTATAAAAAATTATTAATTCTTTCTATTAGAATTTTTTTTAACTAAAAAAACATTATAAACAAAATTTTGACAGTATTTTTTATTAAAAATCAAAAAATATTTATTAATTGCAAATAAATATATTGAGTTTAATAAATAAAATTATAACCGTTACTAAAACATTTTAAACATCCACAAATTTTTTTTATCATCTTAGTAATCAAGTAATTAATAATAACAGTAATCGCGATGATAATGATAATAATAAAGTAATTATTATTTATATAAAACTGGATGATGGGAAAGAGTAGGATTGATTGATGATGAGTTAGCTGTTAAGTTAAAAGATCCTAAACGGTGTACCGGCGCGGGAATCTAAGTTATAGCATGGGTTTATGTATTTATGAGAATGAGAATGAGAATGGAATGGGAATATGTTTATATATAAGAGTAGACTTGAGGCGACGACGCGCAAATTGGCCACGAGTGAAATCACGCGATATTTTCCATCGAGTGTTTGCGAACGCGGGGGTGAGGAAAGAGAGAGAAAAAGAGCGAATGTGAGCCCGGTATATTATAATGCGCACGTTTGCGCCGTAGTAGGTGCTTTCAAGGAAACTGTAAACACTATCATTGGTATAGGCAGCCGATACGTGACGTCGTGCGGGTCACGAATCACCCGGGATAGCTGCTAAAGGTGTATAAGGTGTATAAGGTAAGGTGAGCTGTGACCCAGCCAGAACACCGGCAACCAGACTCCTCGCTCTTGGATGCTGTGCTGAACTTCAAAAACTAATCCGCCCTTAAGCTTGAAAAACTACGCCGGTCGTCGCTAATCCGGTCAAAATCGGTTGATTCGTTCGAGAGATATCGTGAACGAAAGAAAATCGAAAAAAGTGTTTTTTCGGGATTACTCCGAAATTTTTGGTTCGGTCAATCAAAACCTGAAAATAACTTGTGAGGATGATAAAACTGCGTCGAATGCCGCCAACCGCGTGAAAATTGGTTAATCCATTCAAAAGTTATTGCGGTTTGAAAATTCCAAAAATAGTGTTCTATGAAATTTCTATCAGACTTTTGAGCTGGGAGAGCTCAAATGCATAGAAATATTATTTCTTTGAACTCAGTGAGCTCAAAATATCACATGAATTATATTTTGAGCTCAAAAATCTTTAGAATGTCATAAGTACAATTTTAAGCGCCCAGGTATGGAATTAGCGGGAAGTTGCAGGGATGGCCTTTAGGGTGAACCGTTTTTCTAATTTTTTTTTTAATATTTTAATACTTTGAGTCAATAATAAAAATTATTTTATCAAGTAAAATTTATTTGAACCAAAAAACAAATTACTGGGAAACTTTTAATTATTTTTTGAATTTTTATAGCAATTAAATTGTTATAAAATAATAAAAAAAAAAATTTCTTAAGTAGAAATTGTAAAAACAATAAATTTTTGAGAATAATTTTATTTTTAAAATAAAATCGAAAAAAATTTTTTTGATAATTTTTTTTTTATCAAAATTTTTTCTCTTTCTTAATCAATTAAATTTTGCTATCACCTATGAGACTTCTAAAACAGTAAATTATTACTTAATTTCAATAAAAAAATTTAATATTGAGTAATTCGACAATGCGAATAATGTAAAAGGTGCAAATAATAATTATATTGGCTTAATTTATTACTTATTACAATAAAATAATATCTGAGTAGCACAAGTAGTAGAAATTAAGTCTAACATGTGTATAAAAAGTAAACACAGATATGATTACACATTATAAAAAATTCATTAAATTTTATGAGCACAGAAGTGTTTTCGTTTTGAAAAAATTCATAATATTTGTTCATTATTTAATTCACAATTTTTTTTTATATTTATAAACTTTAAAACTTTCGTATGTACAAAAAATTATTTTTAATTCAAAGAAATAATAAAAATATTAATTAGTTGCAATAAAAAATATTAATTATTTCCAATTAAAAACATTAATTATTTCTAATTAAAAATTCTACGATAGAATTTTCCGGTGATAAAAATATTTCTAAATCGATGACTCAAAGAGATTTTTAATCTAATTAGAGATCAATGAGTAATATTATAATAAATAGTAATTGATAATAGTAAAAAAAAAAAATAATATAACAATCTGGCCACCTAAATATTGTTACAAAATAAAAAAATCTGAATGCATTTATCGAATTAATTATTGAATAATAAATTTAATAAAACGAGCAATTATGTCAATTGTAACGTGAAACAGATGTTACAGATGTTATCCACTACATATTTACCGAAGAGACTTACTTGGAATGGACAGTTTGTTATAACTACAAGTAATGCAAATCTTATACATGATCGGTTTGTAATGAACAAAATTTTCCATCTAATTTATTAATTATTAATTATCAATGTATAAGTAATAATGGTATCTATATGTAGATTTATAAAATTATCTACATATACATGAAATCGCAAAAATGATTCTACGATATTGTTAGATTAATTAGATTAATTTATTATTATGCCAAAGCCAATTTGGCCAGATGGCAAATTGTTAAGGTAGTTCGTTGCTTTAGAATTTATAATTCCTTTAAAATTAAAAAAATAATAGAGGTAGAATCAGAATTAAAAGCTCAAATTTTGATGGAATTATTTTTGTTTAGTATATGGAACTATATATAGCTGGAGGGCCCGACTAACAATTTATGAACTTGACAAAACTAATAATTTTTGTGAAATTAAATTTTTTTTAAGTTCCTATTATTTCATTCGCAAAATACTATTTATTGAAAGATTATTAATCATTGGAGTAACAGACTCTTGGATAAAAAAAGAGAATGCTTAATAGTAATCACAAAATACCCATCTGAGTAAAAAAAAATTATATAGAATTCTATATGATTCATTTATATGAATATTATATATTATATATTATATATATTACATATTATATATTATATATATTACATATTATATATTATATATATTACATATTATATATTATATATATTACATATTATATATTATATATATTACATATTATATATTATATATATTACATATTATATATTATATATATTACATATTATATATTATATATATTACATATTATATATTATATATATTACATATTATATATTATATATATTACATATTATATATTATATATATTACATATTATATATTATATATATTACATATTATATATTATATATATTACATATTATATATTATATATATTACATATTATATATTATATATATTACATATTATATATTATATATATTACATATTATATATTATATATATTACATATTATATATTATATATATTACATATTATATATTATATATATTACATATTATATATTATATATATTACATATTATATATTATATATATTACATATTATATATTATATATATTACATATTATATATTATATATATTACATATTATATATTATATATATTACATATTATATATTATATATATTACATATTATATATTATATATATTACATATG